ACAACCGACTCCAGTCTGGCATGGGAGGAGAGAGACGCCCGTCCAAACGGATCGAGGGAGTTTGCACCACAGACGAGCACGACTCTGCAATTATTTTTCTTTTAGCAAAGTTTTCTACTTCCTTCAGTGTGGACCAGATATGCTGCTCGATGGCGTCGAACGAATACGAGAATCCGAGATTAATTTTTAACGCTCACGAGGAGACAGAGCCGCGATCGACACCGATTTTCATTGCTAAAATGATGAAATGAGATCGAGATCATTTCGACGTGAAGTGGCCGGCAGGTCGTAACGACTCTACAAATGGAAACATTGGTCTTTCCATTAAAAGATAAGATGTATCGGTTGTTCGGCTGCAAGTGTGAAAATTTCTTCCAATGCGATTCGGCTTCGGTCCGGTTTCTCCGAGTCACCCGATCGGTAGAAGGCGCAAAGGCATACTAAGATATTTATTTCCTTTTCACTCACGGGAATCTTGGAGTCCGGGAAAATTCTCGAATTCGGACGAGAAAGGAGAAAGAGACGAAGACCCGTCGGATTCTTCCGTCTGCCCTCGGCAACAGCCGAAGAGCCTCGCTGCCTTGCGGCTGATCCAAGTCCTCATGCGTCGAGCCCGATTCATAGCGTCCACGGTCCTTCTTGCTTTCCAAACGTGTGCCAAATGACGCTGTCGAGTCGGAGAAGACGCTGTCGAGTCAGAGATTTTACCGATGCACTAGTCTCTCGGCAACCGATTCCTTCTATACCATTGTTGCCATGGGCTTCGTCTTTTTGTCATATCCGTCAGGAGTCAAGAGTTGGAATTCTCGTGTTTCCCTCTCTCCAATTTTTCTCACCGGCTCGGCTCTCCACCGATTCGCGGGCCGTTGCTCCAAGGAAAGTCAGGGATGAACACGGGGGCAAATGACTTTGCCGAAGTTCGTAGGCTGGCACGAGTTACAAAGTTATGGTTTATTCCATGGCGCTTACATTGAGAATAAAGGACGTGCGCGCGAGAGAGAGAGAAATAAATGGAAGGATAGAAAAAAAGAAATGATGAAAAAAGTTGAAATCCACGCATGTGGATGAAGAGCTCAAATCCAGGTTGATAATTGGAACTTGAATAGATTTCATGGAATTATTGCTTCGATCGACCATTATAAGGGGAAAAAATGGGATCGAGTCGACGCAATGGATCACAATGAAAGGGCATTGATTTGTCCTCGTAAAGCATCCAATTTCAACGTCATACTCCGATGCAATTTTGTTGTTTTTTCCATCAGCAGGCGCAGACTTTCTTTTTTTCTCTTCATCTTTTCGATTTTCTTCTTCTCCTTCTTCAGGTGGCAATGAAGTTCCTTCAGGGCTTTCTTCTTACGAAGGAAGGACGTCCCTGCAATTTCCATATTTATCGGAAATAAATATTAAAAAATGAAAGAAAAAATTTACGGACTTGATTGTACAGCCGCTTCGGTAATTGGAGTTAGCACTCGATCGGGCGTACATTGCGATGAAGAGGAATAATTGCATTAAATGTACTTCTGAATAATGAGAATCTCCGATAAGAAAAAATTTACGGACTTGATCGTACAGCCGCTTAGGTAATTGGAGTTAGCACTCGATCGGGCGTACATTGCGATGAAGAGGAATAATTGCATTAAATGTACTTCTGAATAATGAGAATCTCCGATGAGTTCATAAAAACATGTAATAAATGAATGATTTATACAAGATGTGGGGGCGATATTCTTTCAAAATGCTACCAGGAAATTGGCATGAAAAATAGCTACACATGACCTACACAATAGGCACTTTTTTTCTCTCTCTATTAAATGCGATTTTTCAGAGATTTTTCCTCCTGTAGTTAACCTGTGGCTACAGAAGTGATCGTGTAGCCACAGGTACATATTGGAATTTGGAAAATAACATTTTTTACCTTCCTGCCAGTAAAGTCAGAGCAAAAGCGGGGAAGGTCGAACTTCTGGGCTTAAAACCTTTTTAGTTTTCTAGGTGTTTCCATCTTGACTGGCTTTTCCCGCTTTTGTCTCGAGTTAGTTTTATCCGCCTCGGCAATCGGGAAGGATTATTATGATCATCCTGTGATTACTTCCCTCACATCCACAGCGTATCTGCCAGGGAAACAAAGGATGGATGGAGCTATGAAAACGGTATGGGCGGGGGAAATCGCTTTTCGTTCCTCGAAATCACGTGGTTGCTACGTAACTAAACCTGTCAAGGGCGAACCTTTAAAAGAAATTGTTTTGAGGACGAAACACAGGTACAAAACCCCATGGACATGCATGACTGTAGGTGAGACCGTTTTCCAGGCTCGAAGGCCAAAGTTCGATGGAAATCATGCCCTCAAGATTTCTCAAAAAAACATACATTTGTTGGTTAACTGAATCCCAGGCAGCATTTTTTAAATCCCGCACGTGATTGCTGAATGAACCCAACCATCCACTGCCGAATGGTTACGGCACACCAAGGCCAAATTTGATGGCAATCGAGAACATGCATTATGAACACGGTCTTGAGTTAATGCACATGATCTGAGCGGCCCTCATTGATTATATTTAATTTATTCGGAAATACCGCCTGGGGAGACATCCACCTCGTTCAATATTCAATTGAACGAGGAACGCCACCACTCGCGAATCGGCGACTACACTTGGAGTCACCCATATGGCCATCGACAACCATCTGAACGACCTCGGCTATCGGAAGGTTTACTCGACATGGGTCCCTCATCGGCTCGGCGACTCTGACAAAGCAAGCCGTGTCGGTGTCTGCGAATCACTGCTCCTTCGTCCGCACAGAAAGGACCTTCTGAAGGAAATCGCTACTGGAGATGAGAGCTGGGTCCTCGACGTCGACCGTACTCGCAAGAGTCAGTGACTTCCACGAGGAGAATTGCCGCCACACGAACCGAAACCAGGGTTCCACGAGAAGAAGGTTCTTCTCTGCTGTTGGTGGGATTCAGAAGGAATGTTGTAC